GGGTTCCTATGCGCAATTTCTTGCTCTCAGATATGTAACCACTGACACTACTGATCTTTTTAAGAATCTGTAAGGGGGCATTCTTCCTATTGATCTTCAATATAAGAAGCATTCTTGCCACTGACCACCACACTACAAGGGTACACACACACTGGCAGGGGTTCTCGGAGACTTGAAAATTATTTTAAGGGATTCTCCGTGTTAGAAAGGTTGAGAAAGTCTAGTGTCTAGAGCAGTGTTTCTCAGCCAGGGTGCTGTTTTGTCAGGAACCATGAACCAGACAGAGACAGAAAGTGCAGTTAAAATCACATCTTTAACCACTTGCCTACCGGGCACTTATACCCCCTTATTTACCAGGCCAATTTTCAGCTTTCAGTGCTGTCGCACTTTGATTGACAATTGCGCGGTCATGCAAGATTGTACCCATATGAAATGTTTATCATTTTTTTCTCACAAATAGAGCTTTCTGTTGGTGGTATTTAATCGCTGCTGGGCACTTTACTTTTTGTGCTATAAGCAAAAAAAGTGCAAAAAATTTTTTAAAAAAAAGTTTCTTTGTTTCTATTATAAAGTTTTCAAACAGGTAATTTTTCTCCTTCCTGATGTGCGTTGATGAGGCAGCACTGATGGGCACTGATAGGCGGCACTGATGGGCACTGATAGGCAGCACTGATAGGCAGCACTAATGAGGTGGCACGGATAGGCGGCACTGATATGCAGCACTAATGAGGTGGCACTGATGGGCACTGACTGGCACAACCGCTGGGCACTGACTGGTGGCACTGACTGGCAGCACTGCTGGGCTGCACTGATGGGCACTGGTGGGTGGCACTGGTGGGCACAGGTGGGTGGGCACAGGTGGGTGGCACTACTGGGCACAGGTGGTGACACTGCTGGGTGGCACAGGTGGGCGCACTGCTAGGCACAGGTGGGCGGAACTTGTGTGCGGCACTGCTGGGCACCGATCATCAGGGCACTGATGATCAGTGACCCTGATGATTGGTGCCGATCCCCGCTCTGACAACTGCCGGTTTTCGGCAGTACTTTCCTCACGATCTGACAGCGTGAGGAAAGTGCAGCCAAGAACCGGCATTTGCATTTCCCGGTTATCAGCGTGTCATTGGACACGGCTGATCACGTGGTAAAAGGCTGCTGTGATTGGGCTTTTACCACGTCACGTGATCAGCTGTGTCCGTAGGACACAGCGATCACAGAGATCGCTGGGGGCGCGCAGGAGAGCGCGTTCTGGGAGGACATCATATGACGTCCACCCAGAACTGGCCGGCCGCACTGCAGCCGTCATTCAGCTATCTGCGGTCAGCAATTAGTTAATGAAATAGCAAAAATAACACAGTCCAGGAACGTAGTCAAAGCAGAAGCCAGGGTTTGGATGCCAGAGCGGGTAATCAGACGAGCCAGAGTCAGGAAACCAGAAGTCAATGTAGTCAGGAGCCAAATATCAGGAACAGGAATCAGAAGAGAAGTCATCCAAACCAATTTGTACACAGGAACACAGGCAGGAACACACTGAAGATCATAGACCATGCAAGGGCAAGGAGGAAATGAGCTAAGCTGCTAAAATAGCAAAAAGGGCTGGCTGTATGCTGGACTAATGAGGCAGGTAATGGTATCCAAGTGTATAACTGTGGAGAAAATGAGGGGTTTATTTACTAAAGCTGGAGAGTCCAAAATCAGACTCCCTTCTGCATAGAAACCAATCAGCTTCTAACCTCAGCTTGTTCAATGAAGTTTTGGCAATGAAACCTGGAAGCTGATTGGTTTCTATGCACAAGGGAGTCTGATTTTGGATTCTCCAGCTTTAGTAAATAAACCCCTGAGTGTCTGACAATTAATCAACAGCTGGGCAGCTTCTGAGCACTGAAAGAAAAGAGCTGCTCATTAAGTAGCAGGAGCCCATTGGTGACATGTTTGCTCTCCTTCCATATGCTGGAAGCACGGGATATGGTTTGCACAGGATTATCATAATGAATTGCCATAGTGAAAGCTGTCCATTCCCATAGCTTCATTTGTTGCTATGGCGTTGGTGGCCGCACCATGGTAACACAGGATGCTGATTCAGGGAAGGCATCATGCAGGCCTATCCCTAACATTTAGTATGAGACAGAACTTTAGCACCTCCAGACCTGCTCCACCTCCCACCCTCTGCTGCATTACTGGCTGAATGAAAAAAACTGAACCGATTCCCCCATCCACACACTCAAGGTGAAGGCAAGAATCCTCACTACTGTGCTACTGTATTCTGACAGTGGGACTCCCCCGCCATCAGAATGCACTGATCATGGCTGCAGCTAATTGGCTGCGTGTGCTGATTGAGGTAAAATTTTCCAACAATCCAGTTCAGTCGATTGATAATTCAGCTTCTCATGGCAATGGCCATACATGGATCGAAGTTCAGCTGGTTCCTGCTGAACTGGCCAAATTTCAGTCCATGTGTGGCCTAATGTTGGGAGTCACATGGAATTCTAACATTCATGATAGGTGGATAATGTAAGTTTTAAAGTACAGCTATATATACAGTACATATACACCAAAGAAGACAACATTTCTGGTTGTCTGCAATATGCACAGGACACGTAGTTATAGGAATAAAATATACATATGATATCTCAGAATAGTTCATTATCTCATTATAGTATGGAGTAAAGTATATCGAGGGCCATTACACTCAAGTACATTCTCTGCATAATCCATTTTTATGTCCTAAACTATTACCAGATACTTATTTATTGCTCCATAATGGGTTGTTTAGGCAGCAGAAGCAATATACGTAATAGCTGCACTGATAGAATTGACGTACTTCTAATTCTCTCCAGCAATTACATGATGGGATCCTAAATACTGTACATGTTTTGTGCTGCTGTCACAAGGGTTATTTGCTGGTATGCAAAACCTGCACATAATTTTTTGCTTTATTATGTATTTATTAGTATTTGAGTAGCCCATTAGTCAGGCAGTACCAATCGCTGAACACAATTTGTTCAAGCATATAGGGCTGTGTCGCAACCACATACCATGCACATGGTTACAGTGCAGCAGTGCAGACATTTAGGGGTTAAAACAGGTGATGAAGTCACTGTTATCCTGTAGGCTGGGAATTTTCTCCAGTCCAGTGTAATGGAACCGACCCCAGACACCCATGACTGGGTATCTCCGTCAAGAGAACACGAGACCAGAGAATCTGGCTATTGCTACCCCAAGATCCAGATGACACCAGATTTTAAGTAAGCCAGAAGGTAGACTATTTTATTTTAATACAGATACAAGATATATACACTCAAGGGAACAATCCCCCCCTCCCTGCATAATGACACTGTCAGGAATGGACTGGCCAGCAATAGTGGGACTCAGCTGCCTTATGAGCTGCAGTACCAGGGCTGGCCAGCGGGTGCTCCCAGCAATCAGAGACTCAACCTTGCAGCCAGTCAAACACCTGGAACTAATTATACTGGTGTATTTAAGGGACATTCAGACCTGCAGACTCTGCCTTGGTGTTGTGTTTCTCTTGGGCCCTGTATCCTGTTCCTGCTTTCTGTTCCTGTCTGATTCTCTGCTGACCCTGCTCTGATCCCTGGCTTGTCTGACCATTCTCCTATCTGCCTGACCCTCTGTACCACGCTGCCCGCTACCTGCTGAACCTGGCCTGTGACCCCGACCATTCTCCGCTTGCTCCCCCTGTACCTACCTGCCCGACTGATATTGACCCGGCCTGCCTGACGACGCTTGCATTGTATGTACTGTTATCTGTGGGTGGTTGGTTTGGTTTGTTTGCACTGTGTTATGTTTTAGTATTGCACTGCGTTTATGTTTGTATGGTTAGTGTTAATAAATTACATTGTTTATAACATATCTGAAGTCTGCGTTTCCCTGCGTCAGTCACACACCTCTGGTCATACCGGGAGCCCTGACATTACACCACAGGCCAATCCTGACCAGAAGTGGCTGCACAGGGAAGCCATCTTGGCTTGTTGATGGGGAAGGATGGATCTGGATGATGAGGTTGCGTATTTATATCTGCTAGTGTTTGATGACAGGGAGTATGCTTATCAAACTCTGAAGGAGTATCCCCGGGGATGAACTGCTAGAATGTATACGGCTCGCTCATGTTCTAGTAGATCAGGGCACAGAGTTCTCTGAGGTGCAGCCATTGATTGAGGTTTGTGCTGAGTTGGTTTCATCTGGTACCCCCGAATGCAGGGATGAATTTTTGCCACCATTTAGTGCAGACCAGGTAGAGTCCCTGGTGTGGTTATTAGAGGATGATGTGGGCTACTTTCTGGAGCGTTATTCCACATGTTCACCACAGACACTAAGAGATTGTATAAACGCAGTGCAGTCTTTGGTCAGACAGGCTTTGTGTAAGCTCAGCTTTGTTCAACCCATACTGCAGACATGGACAGATTTGTTGCACCCAGCCTCAGTCAGCTTACAAAAACCCAGTCCTGCTTCTAATCTATTTCCTCAAAACTCTATTCCTGCATTCCCAACAGCTCCTCCTGCCCTGCTATCTACCGCATGTCAGTACCCTGTTCCCACTCGCTGCACCTATCCTGCCTTTAACCCTGTAAAAAAGCCCTCTGTAGCAACTGCTCCCTCCCCTGTTCCATCCTCCAGCTCTTCTCTGTCTCCAGCTGCTCCATTCGTTTGCAGACCTGCGTTTACTTGCAGTGCTCCAGTAGTTAAAACCAGAAAAAAGCGAAAATTCTTTCCAACCAATACCATCCTGCCAGTATCCAAACCGGTGAGCCTGCCGTCTGAGAACCTGCCTTCCGTGGGTTCAGCCTGAAGCCTCTACTCAGCCTGAATCCTCTACTCAGCCTGATGCCTGTACTCAGCCTGATGCCTGTACGCAGCCTGATGCCTCTACTCAGCCTGATGCCTCTACTCAGCCTGATGCCTGTACGCAGCCTGATGCCTGTACGCAGCCTGATGCCTCTCTTCAGCCTGAAGCCTCTACTCGGCCTGAAGCCTCTATTCGGCCTGATGCCTCTACTCGGCCTGAAGCCTCTACTCGGCCTGATGCCTCTACTCGGCCTGATGCCTCTACTCGGCCTGAAGCCTCTACTCGGCCTGATGCCTCTACTCGGCCTGATGCCTCTACTCGGCCTGAAGCCTCTACTCGGCCTGATGCCTTACTCGGCCTGAAGCCTCTACTCGGCCTGAAGCCTCTACTCGGCCTGATGCCTCTACTCGGCCTGAAGCCTCTACTCAACCTGAAGCCTCTACACAGCCGGACGCCGGCATTCAGCCTGATGCCTCTACCCAGCATGATGAACTGATCCAGCCTGACGATCCTATTAGGCCAGTTGACTCGATGCCCGCTGTTGATCCAGATGATCCGGTAGCTGATCCGGTGCCCGCTGTCGTGCCAATTGACTCAGAGCCCGCTGTCGTACCTGGTGACTCGGTACCCACTGCCTTGCCAGATGACGCGGTGCCCGCTGGCGAGCCAAATGACCTGATGCCTGGTGACCCAGGGCCCACTGTCATACCTGGTGACCCGATGGCCCGCTGTCGAGCCAGACGATCCAATGCCTGGTGACCTGGTGCCCACTGCCTTGCCAGATGACACGGTGCCCGCTGGCAAGCCAAATGACCTGATGCCTGGTGACCCAGTGCCCGCTGTCATACCTGGTGACGCGATGCCCGCTGTCGAGCCAGACAATCCGGTACCTGATGACCCCTTGCCCACTGTCGTGCCTGTTGACTCGGAGCCCACTGCCTTGCCAGATGACGCGGTGCCCGCTGTCGAGCCAAATGACCTGATGCCTGGTGACCCGATGCCCGCTGTCCAGCCAGACGATTCAATGTCTGCCCCAGTGCCCGCGGTCATGCCAGTTGACTCGGAGCCCACTGCCTTGCCAGATGACGCAGTGCCCGCTGTCGAGCCAAATGACCTGATGCCTGGTGACCCAGTCCCCGCTGTCATACCTGGTGACCCGATGCCCGCTGTCGAGCCAGACAATCCGGTACCTGATGACCCGGTGCCCACTGTCGTGCCTGTTGACTCGGAGCCCACTGCCTTGCCAGATGACGCGGTGCCCGCTGTCGAGCCAAATGACCTGATGCCTGGTGACCCGATGCCCGCTGTCCAGCCAGACGATTCAATGTCTGCCCCAGTGCCTGCGGTCATGCCAGTTGACTCGGAGCCCACTGCCTTGCCAGATGACGCGTGGTGCTCGCTGTCGAGCCAAAATGACTTGATGCCTGGTGACCCGATGCCCGCTGTCGTCAGACGATCCAATGTCTGACCCAGTGCCCGCGGTCATACCAGTTGACTCGGAGCCCACTGCCTTGCCAGATGACGCAGTGCCCGCTGTCGAGCCAAATGACCTGATGCCTGGTGACCCGATGCCCGCTGTCCAGCCAGACGATCCAATGTCTGACCCAGTGCCAGCGGTCATGCCAGTTGACTCGGAGCCCACTGTCGTGCCTGGTGACTCGGTGCCCGCCGCTTTGCCTGGGGGCCCGAGACCTGTCGCTCCGCCTGGGGGTCCGGCGCCCGCCGCTCCGCCTGGGGGTCCCGGCGCCCGCCGTTCCGCCTGGGGGCCTGAGACCTGTCGCTCCGCCTGAGGGCCCGAGACCTGTCGCTCCACCTGGGGGTCCGGCGCCCGCCGCTCCGCCTGAGGGCCCGAGACCTGTCGCTCCGCCTGGGGGTCCGGCGCCCGCCGCTCCGCCTGAGGGCCCGAGACCTGTCGCTCCGCCTGGGGTCCGGCGCCCGCCGCTCCGCCTGAGGGCCCGAGACCTGTCGCTCCGCCTGGGGGTCCGGCGCCCGCCCGCTCCGCCTGAGGGCCCGAGACCTGTCTCTCCACCTGGGGGTCCGGCGCCCGCCGCTCTGCCTGAGGGCCCGAGACCTGTCGCTCCGCCTGGGGGTCCGGCGCCCGCCGCTCCGCCTGAGGGCCCGAGACTGTCGCTCCATCTGGGGGTCCGGCGCCCGCCGCTCCGCCTGGGGCCCGATGCCTGTCGCCCCGCCTGGAGGGGGGGGCCCGACGCCTGTCGCTCCGCCTGGGGGCCCGATGCCTGTCGCCCCTCCTGGGGGCCCGGCGCGCCGCCACTCCGCCTGGGGGCCGGCGCCCGCCGCTCCGCCTGGGGGCCCGATGCCGGTCGCCTAGCCTGGGGGCCCGATGCCGGTCGCCCTGCCTGGGGACCCGGTGCCTGTTGCCCTGCCCAGGGGCCCAGTGCCTGCTGCTCCGCCCGGGGTCCCGGTGCCTGCTGCTCCGCCTGGTGGCCTGCTGCCTGCTGCTCCGCCTGGGGGCCCGGTGCCTGCTATCCGCCTGGGGGCCCGGTGCCTGCTGCTCCGCCTGGGGGCCCGGTGCCTGCTGCTCCGCCTGGTGGGCCCGCTGCCTGCTGCTTCGCCTGGTAATCCGATGTGCCTCTGCCCAGAGTCCGGCCCGATGTGCCTCTGCCCGGAGTCCTGCCCGATGTGCCTCTGCCCGGAGTCCAGCCCGATGTGCCTCTGCCCGGAGTCCAGCCTGATGTGCCTCTGCCCGGAGTCCAGCCCGATGTGCCTCTGCCCGGTGTGCCTCTGCCCGATGTGCCTCTGCCCGGAGTCCAGCCCGATGTGCCTCTGCCCGGAGTCCTGCCCGATGTGCCTCTGCCCGGAGTCCTGCCCGATGTGCCCTCTGCCCGGAGTCCTGCCCGATGTGCCTCTGCCCGGAGTCCAGCCCGATGTGCCTCTGCCCGATGTGCCTCTGCCCGGAGTCCAGCCCGATGTGCCTCTGCCCGGAGTCCAGCCCGATGTGCCTCTGCCCGGTGTGCCGCTGCCCGGAGTGCCTCTGCCCGGAGTCCAGCCCGGAGTGCCTCTGCCCGGAGTCCAGCCCGATGTGCCTCTGCCCGGAGTCCTGCCCGATGTGCCTCTGCCCGGTGTGCCGCTGCCCGGAGTCCTGCCCGGTGTGCCAGTCTTTGATATCCCGCCAGTTACCAGACCCGGGCGGTGGAACATTTTGCCCAGCTAGGACTGTTTGGAGCGTCCTGAGGCCGCTCCTTGGGGGGGGGGGTACTGTCAGGAATGGACTGGCCAGCAATAGTGGGACTCAGCTGCCTTATGAGCTGCAGTACCAGGGCTGGCCAGCGGGTGCTCCCAGCAATCAGAGACTCAACCTTGCAGCCAGTCAAACACCTGGAACTAATTATACTGGTGTATTTAAGGGACATTCAGACCTGCAGACTCTGCCTTGGTGTTGTGTTTCTCTTGGGCCCTGTATCCTGTTCCTGCTCTCTGTTCCTGTCTGATTCTCTGCTGACCCTGCTCTGATCCCTGGCTTGTCTGACCATTCTCCTCTGCCTGACCCTCTGTACCACGCTGCCCGCTACCTGCTGAACCTGGCCTGTGACTGTTTTATAACATATCTGAAGTCTGTGTTTCCCTGCGTCAGTCACACACCTCTGGTCATACCCGGGAGCCCTGACAGACACAGGGTGGGGCAATCTACCTTTAGTAACAAGAGACACACCAACAGACAGTCCCATCAGGAGGGAGGGCTGCTGGAGACACCCCCCACCAAGCCATAAACACATAGTAGTTTGCTCCCAAGCCAGATACACAATAGAACAATGGGATGCAACCATAAATCCACAACCCCCACCCCACCTATCTCCTAGACATGTCTACACAATATCAGGACAGATCACCCTGTACCCCTAACAGGCACAGGGTGACTTACACATAAGAGGGATATAGGGAGCTGGGACAGGGGTCTCCCCAGCTCTCCAAAGTGAGCTGCGTTCCATGGGCCCCTCACCCAAAGTGAATCCCGTCACATCCAGTACATACTAAAAGGCACCTTATTGATTGTTAGTTTGCTGCTATGCTTCCCACATGCAGCTTCTGTTGGAGGTTCAAGCCCATCCCTTCTTCGTCCTTCGTATGGGCCTAAACATGCTCTAACTTCTGTCTAAGAACTTTAATGCTATGCTGTCAAGATATGTAATTTTTGAAGACTAGTTTCTTGCTGGTTCCTTTTTGAATGATGTGAGATATGTGATGTTCCATTGTTTATTGCTGTACCAGGAAACATGTTGGCTTGATGTGATTTCATTTTGTATAGTCAATACAAATGTACTGCAATGAAAAAACAGCTAATATGGAGGTGATATAATGCCTCCTCCTGTTCTGTGAAACACCCTCTGAGAAGTGGTCCACGGTGGATTGCTCTTCAGAAGGTGATGCTAGTAGACACGATACCCAAACACTGATATTTTTTTATTTTTTCTCTCTCGCTCTCTCTCTCTGTTTCAATCTCCTTCCCTTTGGACCCAGGCTATACCACCCAAAGAGACTACATCCACCTATCAATGGCTTGGCTGTCCTAATAGACCAGCAGGTCATGAAAAAATAAATGAGCCTGTCACGGTACTCACAGAATCCTTGCCAGGACTTCCATGATTCAGTGTAATGTATGGGCATCTCCTCTGACCAGAAGGGAATGTGTGCTGCAGGCTTTGTTGAGGCTGTGTTGTGTCTTATCGCCAGCTACCCAAGAGCTGAAGAGTTATAATACTTGACTGCCAACCTGGATCGACCTTACTACTCTCTTGCTTGCTGTCTGCATGTTTTTATTTTGTTTTCGAACTGGGATAGGGAAGGAACATAGTGGGATACTTCTAATTGAACTATTCACAGTAAGGACAGCTTTCTCTAAGTGGATCTGTAGGTTCTCTTTAGTAGAAACTGTGTAGCAGACTGTACAAAGTCCTTCTGTAGCAATGTAGAGACTAAATGGACAGTTGCTCTCCAGGACACCTACCGGTGTCCCGTCTAGCTTACACCCAGCAGCTGACAATATAGGTCCCGAGGGGGTTAAACAGCACAACTCCCAGGATCCCTTTGAATAGTCTGTACTCACAAGGCCCTTGCTGCAGGTCACCTTCCTTCATGACAGGATCTGTAGACATTGCCCTCTGTCAGCTCTCAGAAACACCCTGGGTTTAGGCGTTCTGGACCTTGGGTCGCCCCACCTGAGGCCTCCTGGCAACATATGCCAGGGAAGGAAGCCATCTCCCTGGATGGAACTCCCTTCTCAGGAGAAAAAGAAGAATAATCCCAATCCCATGTGCTCATTGAATATAAATACCAGCGCCCAGCATGCTTATGGGGCACCACTCCCTGTAACTGGCTGAAGCTGCATCCATATTGTTACTGCTCACACCTGCGTGGTTCATACTATCCACTCAGAACCTTCCTTGGTTACCTGGATACAGATGAACCTTCACCCAGGTACAGCAACACTGTGAGTCACACAGGATGAACTAGGTAAATAATTGTAGCTCTTCTGCTAAGCAGAGAGAGAGAGCCCCTAAATTTGTCTAATGATCTCCTGTTAAGCAGAAGTCCATACTATGCTATGCTCAACCAGGGGCGGACTGACAACTCATGGGGACCCGGGCAATAGGGGATGATTGGGCCCCTGTGTCCTTGCCCAGACTCAAAAAAGCCTATGAAAAAGGTACCAGGGGCATCTCATGGGGCCCCCTAGTGACCCGAGTTTCCAAATGGTCAGACCGCTCCTGTACTCAACTATCTATATCCTAGCACCTATCTAGGAGGATGCTACACTCACAATATATAAGACACATTCTGCAGCAATCATAACATTTGTCTATAGTTGTTGCAGAGCATTTTAAAGCTTTGCAGGGACTGACTTTAAAGCCAAGTGTCAAAGAGGCAGCTAGCATGGCATAGGTGTCTTTTCTATTCTTGCCCCGTGTGATTGTTGCGCTATGTGTCACTTTTTGTTAATACTTTCCTTATGTGATTCTCATTAGTATACAGTATGTGTGTGTGTGTATGCCATATGTATGGCTACAATAACATGATGGGACTGCTCACATTCATCTTGGCTTATCCTGATCTCTGTGCTATGTATTCAGCTGTAGCTGAGGCTGGATGATTGCCCTGAGCTCTGACTTGTAATAATGCTTCTTATCCTGGCTGACATTTGAAGAATACTACAGTGCCAGAGGTATACAGTCAAGCAAATAACAGGCAAAACCAAAAGAAACCAAAAAGTAAGAAACACGGATGTGTGTGATTATGGCTGCTACAGTCCTAAAAAAAATGTCTAACTTCCATATTGG